CTGATGTGGGAACTCAGTGCAATAAATTTTCCTCTCAGGACAGCTTTCATTGCATCCCACAGGTTCCGGTAAGTTGTATCTGTATTTTCATTTTCTTTTAGGTATTGTTTGATTTCTTCTTTAATTTCCTCTGTGACCCACTGATTACTCAAGAGTGTGTTATTCAGTTTCCATGTGTTTGTGGGATTTTTGCAGTATCTTTTATCATTAATTTCTAATTTCAGAGCGCTATGATCCGATAACATGCAAGGGATGATTTCAGCTCTTTTGCACTTGTTTAAATATGTTCTGTGAGCTAATATATGGTCTATTTTAGAAAATGATCCATGTACTGCTGAGAAGAATGTGTATTCTGATGTTGTTGGGTGGAACATCCTGTATATGTCTATCAAACCCATTTGTTCACAGGTATGATTCAGTTCTGTTATTTCTTTGCTCATTTTCTGTCTGGTTGATCTGTCCCTTGGTGTCAATGGCGTATTAAGGTCTCCTGTTACAATTGTGTTACTGATAATTTGAGTTTTCATTTCTGTTAATAATTGTTTTATATAACTTGGTGCTCTGGAGTTTGGTGCGTATATATTTAAGATAGTTATCTCTTCCTCTTGGAGTTTTCCCCTTACAAGTATGTAGTGACCTTCTTTGTCCTTTATGGTCATTGTTGGTTTAAAGTTCACGTTGTCTGCAAACAGAATGGCTACTCCTGCCTTTTTCTGGATTCCTGCTGCATGAAGAATTGTTTTCCATCCTTTGACTTTCAGTCTGTGAGTATCCTTCTGGGTTAGATGGGTTTCCTGTAAACAGCATATGGTTGGATTTTGTTTCTTGATCCATTCTGCTAGTCTGTTTCTTTTGATTGGTGCATTGAGACCATTTACATTAATGGTTATTACTGTTAAATGCTGGTTAATTGTAGGAATGTTATCTCTCTGCTGTTGCATCTTTATCTTTCTGTTCTGTTTAATTATTTGCTTTGCTTAGTGGTTTTTTCCTTTGTGTATCTAAACTGTCTTTCAATATTTTTTGCAGGGTCGGTTTGGTGTTCATGAAGTTCTTCAGCTGTTCTTTGTCATGGAAGTATCGTATTGCACCATCTATTTTGAATGATAGTTTTGCAGGATATATCAGTCTTGGTTGGAAATCATTTTGCTTTAGGATCTGGAATATTTCACTCCATGCTCTTCTTGACTTTATCGTTTGTGCTGAGAAGTCTGCTGTGATTCTGATAGGTTTTCCTTTATAAGTGATCTGTCTTTTCTCTCTGACAGCTTTTAGTAATCTATTCTTGTGTTGGATTTCTGGGATGGTGATTATTATATGTCTGGGTGTAGTTTTATTTTGGTTATGAGTGTTTGGAGTTCTATATGCTTCACTGATCTTGATGTCAGTTTCTGATCTCGTGCTTGGGAAATTTTCAGCTATTACTTCTCTAAATATCCGCTTGACATCCTTTATGTTGTCTCCCTCTCTTTCATTAATCCCTATCATTCTTATGTTATTCTTCTTTGCATCGTCTTGCAGTTGTTGAATTGTTGTTTCCTGATTCCTTGTTATTTTCAAAAGATCTTTCCTTTCCTGTTCACTAGCTGCAATCATGTCTTCAAGGTCTGAAATTCTATCTTCACTTTCATTAAGGCGGTTTTTACAACTTTCAGTGGAGTTTTTTATTTCCTGTATATCTCTGTGCATCTGCATTATGTATTCTGTTTGTTTCTTATATTGCTCGTCTAGGGATTCTATCTTTTTGTTTAGTTCCTCCAATTTTTTATCTGTGTTTTCTTTAGATATATTTAGAATCTCTTTCATTTCTTTTATCATTTCTTCTTTTATCTGGGAGATTATTTCGAGTTTGAATTTCTTTAAAGCTTCCTGGAGTTGTTTGTCAACTTCAGTAGCTATTATGTCCGATATATGAGGTGGATGGGATATATTTTCTTCTATATACATTGCTCCTAGGGTTTCCTGAGATGGGCTGGAGGTTTGAGGTTGTAATTTGGTCTTTCGTTTTGTCATTTTGTATATTTCTGTGTTTCAAGTGTTATTTGAAAGCTTCCTCAGGATCTGTTGAAAATCCCCTTCTATGCTTGGAGCTACTGAGCCTCTGACACCGCACTACCCCAAGCCATTGGGCCTGCAGAACCAGTGTCCCTCCTCTGCCTGCTCAGAACTCCGCAGTTCCAGACAAGCTGGGCCTCAGGGACACTGTGCGCCCACCTGCCCCTTGGAAGATCCACAGCTCTTCAATTGCAGCCGGGTTAGGGTGCTCTCCACAGGCCACAGTGCCTCAGGAGCCTGTGATCCCTCCCTGCTTGCAGAGATATCCACAGTCCTCTAGGCAACGGAAGGGACTTCTGCAGGCACTCCAGATCCGCCCAGCTCCTCCTCTGCAGGCAGATGGCTAGGCGCGGCTGGGCTCGGGGGTTAGTGTAGGCCCGCCCATCTGTCAGGAGCTCAGCAGACTTCCAAGTGTAGCGGGGGGGGGGGGGGGGGATGGGGAGGCAGCTGTAGTGGCCTCTAACCCAGTGCTCCACTTCACTGCACCCAGAAGCCTGGGGGGTCCGGAACAGTCTGAGATTTGGGCAGACTGTGCTGGGCACTCACCACAGGCTGAGGTGCCTCAGGAAGCTGCGATGCCTCCCTGCTTGCAGAAGTATTCAGTCCTTCAGACAAAGGAACGGGCTTCTGCAGGGACTCCGGATCCGCCCAGCTCCTCCTCTCCCTGCTTGTTTTCTATGTGTAATTTTGTTTTCCTCTGGAATTTCATGAAAGTCGAATCCCAGAGTATATAGTCTTTTTTGACTTGCTTCTTTCACTTGACATTATACTTTTGAAATTTAAACTTGTTGAATACTTTGCCTCAATAGCTAATTCCTTTTTTTGTTTCATTATAACATTCAGTTGCTTAAATATTTCACAACTGGTCTATATGCCAGTCAACATTAACTTGAGTTATTCACAGTTTTTTGTTACTATGAAGTAAGCTGCTGTGAACATTTATACCCAGATGTTTGTATGAATATATATTTCAATTCCTCTTGGAAAACTAGGCAGGAATAGACTTCCTGGGTTGCACAATAAGGGTGCCATTCCTTCACCAGTAACTTCTCAGTTAGCTGCCTCATGTTACTTCCACCAGCATGCAGAAAATTCCAGTTGCTCAACATTCTTGGCAACACTTTTTAACTATTCTGGTGAGTCTGCCATAGTAGCATATTGTCATTTCATTACACATATGTTTTATGGCTACATATGGGCAGCTGTTTGCACTTATTGAAAATTAGCTAAATTGTGCATCTTAGCTAAGTTGTTCAAATAAATTGCCACATATGTAAGATTTCATAAAAGTAATAGGTGTGTGTTCTTTACGTTATGTTTTACCCATATTTTCTCACAAACTATTACCTTCATTTTATTTTTCTAAGTGTCTTTCAAATAGCAGAATTTATTAATTTTTATGAAGTAAGGCTTATCAATCTTATAGTTTTAGTACCCTATGAAAGCTTTGCTTAACAGAATAGGATTTTATTGCTTTCCTTGCTAAGAATCAGATTTTATTCCATGTTTTAATCTTTAGAAACAGGTTTTAATCTAGAGCCAGGTTTTTGTTCTGTGTTTTATAGATTCAGTTCTATTTAGTTTAAATCTATGAGGTGTTATGAATTAATTTTTATATATAGCATATGGGTTAATACTCTATTTTTGATACTTGGGTGTCCAATTATTCCATAATATTTGTTTGAAAGTTTGTCCTTGCCACCATTGAATTACTTTGCCAAATTGGATAAAATAAATTGAATACATATCTCTGTATATATGCTACCTGATATCTTTCTAATATTTGATAACTCTGTTCTTTGTGTTTAGCTAAACATTTACCCTTAGGATATTACCATTCTCTTGATCATTGTAATTTATAATAATTCTTCAAGTAATATAGTTAGGCTGCACAGCTAGGTTTTTGTTTTGTAAACTGGTAATTAATCTTAAACAAACTAGCTTGTGTAATGCTACTGTCTTGTAAGAGAAGGGAAATGACCATTAGTGGAGCGGAGAAAAGATGAAGAGCTCTATTTGCCTGGTGAACCATAATGAAATAAAAGGCTTAGAAACAGACCTTTTTCTATTTTCCATAGATATTTTCAAATGTTGGGAAATGGAATGCTAGTTCCTGGGTCCAAAGAAATTTTTTGAAGTCTCATTTCAAGAACCAGATAAAGAAAAACTAGACAGGTAAAATGAGTAACAGGCTTCAGTAGAGAAAACAGGGGAGAAAGATGATTATTGAGTGAAAGACACAGAAATTAAAAGATTGAAGGGACTATTAAGTCATGGAGAAGAGACTGACGGATGTAATTAGGACTCCTTTTGAAAATCCAAGGTGTTACGGCTTCTATTTAGGTGTCCTCTCCCCTCAAAGCATTATGTGGTCATTTCTTCCAGTGATAGATGGGGTCTAGAGTGTGACATTTGAATTAATTCATGGTTCAGTGCTAGGATCAAGGGCACTCGGTTGCGGATTTGAATCCCTAAGTAGCCTGGATAAGATACAAAGGATGGAAAGAACTATGATCACCCTGTTCCTTTGCTACTTATGCCCTCCATGGGGTATGACACCACCCCACCTGGGGCTAACTGGACTGAAGCCTCTACAAACTGTGAGCTACATAAACTTTCCTTCCTTTAATTTTGGATGTCAGGTGTTTTGCCTCATCAGTGCAAATGAACAATCTATGGACTCACAAGTTGTGTTATAGAAATATCTAGACTCAGAACTTCTTTGGCTGATAGTAGGAAATGTCCAGTAACAGACTGGAGAACATTTGTCATTTAAACTTTTTATTAAGAGAGTAGAGATATTGTATGGTTAGAGAACATACACACACACAGTTCTGTACTTCTGTTTCTTAAAATAGTATTAAAACAAATATGGGCAAATTTTTAAAAAATCTTTTACATTTTATCAAGAAGTTTTATGGTAAATTTAATTACCCAATATCTAAGTATTTTCAGATCAACTGCAATAATCAAATGTCTATAACTTTAATAATTAAACATTAAATAACTGTTCATCTGCCTGATTTTTACTCCCATATTTCAAGAATATAAAAATCAAATCTAGAAAGACATGAATATTTACTAATTACAAAAGGAGACTCAAAATCAGTGAGTCTGACTCATTTTTGATGGTTTAATGTTTAATAGTCATCAATGTTTTGCTCTAGGGCCATCAGAAATCACAGATAGGCAGTTTACATAAGTTACCCAAGTGTTCCTCATCCATAAAAACCAAATAAATAAGCAGTCCCATTCTCTTCACTGTGTTTATTTTTCTGTGTCTTAGTGACACTTTTTAAAAGAAAACATCACACACTTTTCAGTTTTGTCTTTTTTTGCATGTTTCAATGGCATAAAATTAAAGGTCTGTAACTTGAGAGTTCCCACCACCTGAGATCTTTTGTTTCCAATCTTAAAGCTTAAATCATAAAATATCCTAGAGCCCATGGGCTTATTTTGCTTTCTGTTATGTAACTGGGACAATAACTGCCACAAAACTGGAGGCAGAAAATATATTTTGGCTCTAAGGCTGTGACTGGACTTTGGAAATTTCAGATGTTGAAGTGGAAGGGATGCAGGGCTGTGATGGTGGCCCCTGCATCCATGACATTTGGGAGTCAACAGACTGAAGAGAGAGTAAAATAAGAGTTGACGGAATATGGCTAGAGATTTCTACTTTTTCTCCTGACCCAGTTCTCGGGGATCAGCCTTGAGCCCAGGAAAGCGTTATGGATTGGTATTGATTACTCTATCTACTTACTACATAAAAATTGTATTTACATAAATAAAATACTGAATCCTACTAGTGAAAATAAGGAATTTAAAAATATAGATTGTTAGATTGATTTAATTGTATTACAATCCATCAAGAGATGAAGCTCCCTAAATTCTCCTTTTGACTAGAGAAATCCACTCCTTTTAACTAGAGAAAATGGGTATGAGAGGAAAGGTGGGCAGGGCTAGGGTTGGGAAGCCAGTCTCAGAATGGAACAGGAGTGGAAAGAGGACGGTCTGCAGCAGGAGGAGCCAGCAAAGCACTGCAGAACTGGAGGATGCTTTAGAGCGTGGAGTGCATTTCTGCTCATGTCTCACTGTGCTCTCACTGTGGCTTGTGAAATAAAAAACATAGCATCTCCACTTTGCTAGGGAATAAGTGAAGAGTTCACAGACAAATGGTTAAGTAACTTGGAAGTCATCACAGAAATGGGAACTTGTAGGGCTAGAGGAAGCTCTAATGTAGCATCTACTTCTAAGTCTAATTCATCATCATTTGGCTGCTTCTCCATGTTCTTCTGTTTCACAATTATGGCACAGATTTCATTTGTAAAAGATTGCATCACTTCATGTCAACAGTGCACCGTAAATTAAACCACAGTGTTCAGCTGTTTACTTAATAGTCAAGAAAGAAGATATACTTTAAATATGTCTTTTATCCAATTTAGCAACACATAGAAGAACACATTATATTCGCCACACAGAGAAAAACTGCTAGCTAAGAACAAAATCTTTAAAGTTCCATTTTTATAACTTTTAGGGTAGTTTAAGAATTTCTCAAAATTATATTATCATGTATAATGTCATTTTAAATTGGAAAAACATGTTTCCTTCTTGTAGTCATTTTAAAACTAGGTCTTCCCTTTGCTCAAAATCATTCAGATTATAATATAAATCATACTAATTAAGACGACATTGTTACAATTCATGGCCGATGCCTACAGCTGAATTTTCAGAAAGTTCAGAACTAAAGAGGGTAAGATGTCGCTTGAGATTTTTTTTCTCCTCTGGCTGTTCACACAATTTGACTTCAATGTTGCCATCACTGAATGCTTCTCCTTTCGTCTCCTCGACTGGGTTCTCTCTCTGAGATAACTTTCCTTTCTTCTGCATCATTGTAATTCCCAAGTTTCCATGCCTCCTTGCTGGTGACAAGGTGTCTTTCACTATGCAATAGCAAACTGCAGACAAAAAGTTTTTCTTGAAGTTTTCATTCATAAATGCATAGACAATGGGATTACAGATGGAGTTGGAAAATCCAATTATTTGCACTATAGCAAAAATCATCTTGATTGTGACTTCATCATATTCCTTTTCAAAATTACCTGAAACAAAGTAATACTTTAGAATATTTGTTTTATTAAGCATAAAAATAAAACTTCTGTTTATTGTCTGTCTTTATCAAAAACTTGAACTCATGCAAGTAGTTAAAGCTACTAAAAATTCTCAAAATCATTTGATACCTGAAAAATAACCTCTGTGATGAGTCTGCATGTTTACACAACTTAGTCCTTCATGTATAGGCTATTGTCCAGTGCACTTCAGCTTGAAGACTCAAAGTATTTTAAGTGGATGACTGTAAGTTTCATGTAAATCAGGAACAGTATTACCCTTCAAATATTACCTTGAATTACAGTTATAGTCATCTGAGAATCACATAGTCCTATGTTATCAGAAAAAGTCCACTAAAGGTCTGATTGAAATCCTAAGCATTGCTAATTTCATAAGGTATCAGTCAAGTTGTAAACAGAAAAAACTCATATGATATTGCCCTTTCCCCAAGTTAAATACCTTAGGGTGTAGGGAAAGGGTAATATAAGATATGAGACTCAAAACTTTCCTTTATCTTTTGTAATAACTAAAGGCTTAGTCATAGTCCTGCCCAATGACATACCATATTGATCCAGTAATATTGAAATCATGAAGTAAGCACATGCAGTATTTTATATTTGATTATCCAAGAGAATAGCAATACATTTCAAAGATTCATTGACCATTCTGGTAGGACACAAACTAGCAAATCTATCTACTGACAATGACAAGCACTCACTATATTCAATCATCATGTGAACAACGTGGAAAGGGGCCCAGCACACAGCAAAGAGAGACACTACTGTCACCATCATGATGAAAGCTCGCTTCTTCTTCCTGAATGCACAAGAAAACACTATCTTGGTTAACTTTCCCTTGGCAAATGTGTCATATTCATAACAAAGCTATGAGACAAACCTTGAACTTCATCCACTCAACCATAATTTTTCAAAGGTTAGTGAATCTCACAAGAGCTTATGGGTTTATAACCAACTTTTTGCATTGATATTAGCTTCATGTTTACATTCCCCATATCATAAACATCCCTGTGGCATGTGCTCACCATGGTCTGGCACTCTGTGGTATGCTTGACCTGAATTAGTTTATGTTACTAATTTTCCCAACAAGCTACTGGACAGATAAAAAAATTGACACACAGAAAAGGATAAATAATTGGCAAAGCCAGCTGACCAATGAGAGGTATACACTGGATTTGAATGTAGGCACTCCACTCCAGTGACTACATTTTATTCACTATATATTGAAACACACTCATGTCTGTGATGGTAGATATCAATATTTATGAAATAAGAAAGGTTCTAGGCATAGAATTAAAATGCAGTCCTTTTATTATACCTAATTAATATGGTTGATTGATTGAAAGTAATTTTCTTCACTACTCCTATAAAGTAGACTTACATTTGTGAAACGTACATATTTGCAAGGTGCCTTAAATCTATGAAAACTCACACTCATAATCTTCTGTGTCCACCTGGTAGGCCTTTTTTTTTTTTTTTTGAGGACTCAGGAAAGTTAGTTCAGCAGTAAGTGCTAGATACTAAGTGGTCCTTAGCCCTTGCACATAGAAAGGAAGGACTTTTTTTTTATAGAAATTGGGCACTAGAGGTCACTACACACTTGAAGAATTAATAAAAAAAAATTCTATCAAATTCCTAGACTTATCCACATAGGGTATTGCTTAGTTTTGGTTTAATGATCATTCTATATAGACTATAAAAACAAATCATATGAACCAAAATACTATTGCAATAAATTTTGTTCTAAAATTGCACTTCATGGATAAAAACAGCACAGCTATTGCTAAAAATGAAATGTTATAACAGTTTAAAATGATTGACATACTCTGGCTTCAAAAGGTTTCCATAAGTGTTTTAGCATCTCCTATGAGTGGAAGGAAGTGATGGTGGATGTTGACTGGGGCCTCACACAAACAGGGACAACGCACCCGGGGAACACGAATGTCGGTCTACTTCCCATGGCTGGCAAGTGACCGTGAGCAGACAGTGATGACCCAGTCCTGAAACCACCCCACAACTCTTCTTGCCCTCCTGTCATATTTGCATACAGATAAAAACGTAGCCACGTTCTAAATTCCAAGTGAGTTTCCATCTGTAGCCTGATTACTTGGATTTAAGAACTTACAGTCTTGTTCTTTCTTTCTGTCACACGTAAAACCGGGTAAAACCTTGAGGATTTAAATTCAGTACACGCTTTAAATTTGAATTACAAGTGATGCTTTGACTAAATTACCTAGAAGTTCTGGTGTCTCTAGCAATTGCCTTTTCCAGCACACCTTTAAAAGTATTTAAAACAGACGTCAACATTTCATTAAACAGACCTGGCTATTTTGGACATTTCTTTTCTGTGGATAGTTCGAAGCACTGAACCATCTTCCACTCTTTTCTTGATCCAAAGTTCATAACCAATTTTACTGTACAGGGCAAGCATCACCATAAGAGGCAGGAGAAAGATGATGACAAGAATGAAGGTGGTGTAGATTTTCTGGTGCACAGGACTGGTCCACTCTTCCAAGCAACAGATGTGTTCTTTTTCATATAGGAAGTCATACTTGATCTTTACAATAAGGATAATTCAGTTAAGAGAGCCAACAGCATAAAAACAAAATAGACAAACAAAAAAACAGAAAGCACACCAGTATTATTAAAATATGCAGCATTTTTAAGCCCTTTCAAATTTACCACAGGTACATATTTTAGAAAACAATCATTTTTTATTACACATTATTTTGTTGGAAAGTACAGTTTTTCCACTTGAATGTGTAAGTTCTTAAGAGTTTGTATTTTTTGATTCTAAATAGAATTGAGGTCCACAGCCTGTTTGCTTTCGTTTTTATCTTTATCAATTTTTATTTTCATTGCATATACATTTTTAATGAGCTGAAAGAGCAATTACTAAAGTATACATTGAAAACTATTTTGTATTAATGCCAGCTAGTTCAATATTAATTAAATGTATTAATAGATTTGTAAAGTCATCAGACATCTTCCCAGAAGAAAGTACCAAAAGCCGTATTTTTAGTACTATTTCACATTATAATATCAGATGTCTTGAAAACTTTAAACAGGCATCCTGATGGCTTTTAAATTCTGACATAAATAAGAAATTAGATTCAAATTATTGTCAATCTAAAAATATTGAAATTTTATTTATTTATACTATTTCTGTTGGAGTCATCTTATAAATTCTAAAACATTAACAATACCAGAAATTGGTAAAAATGCATATTTAAGAACAAACTAAACATTTAAAGCATATTCGAAAGTCACATTTTTAATAGTTACAAAAATAACGTAATTTATTAAGAGTAATATTCTTTTAGTCACTCTGGAATTTTCCAGATGAATACTTGGATCTTGAATAAATTTTTGCCTATCTTCCCAGAAATTTTTGTCACCAACCTTCCACAGCAGTTGAAAAGGTAAGAAAAATCAAGTTCAGGTCTACATGTTATAATAAATACAAACAGATGTGATAGTACTTATTAAAAAAAAAGTTCAAGTTCAAAATCTTTGCAAGTAGGTTGCAAATGTAAAATTCACTGTGACTCCATGTAAACAGATCCTACAAGGGCTAGTAATCCTGCAAGGCTATGGGTTGATAGGTAACCTTAAACTCAATGTTGGAGCCAGTAGCCAGTTTTCATAGCCCAAGGGACAAGCAAAGGCTTTCTGATAGATGTGTTTATGGCAACCAATTTCTGATCCTCGATTTCTAAGCATGCCCTTCACTACACTTCCGCTGCTTAAGATGTTGCCTGAAACTGTGATTTCATGCTGAGTCTACCTTCCCACTTCCCTTTTCACAATGAGGCATTTCTGAAATTATAAAGGTATTATCTCTCACACAGTCCAAACTGTAGCATGGAACACCAAAGAGATGTCAGAGAAGAAACCTTGACCCAGACACCACAAGTCCATGGTGGGGCCTTTGACTTTTCCCTCTCTTAAAAATATTTTAATTAAAAGCAAACCCTGCCACTAGAAAAAAAAATGATTTTTGACAAGTGTTGGACTATTGTGAATTCACATTTTTATACCAGGAAGGTTAGAGGTGATGACAATTTTAATTTAACCAACTTCTTTCTTCCAGTTCCTTAAAATGATTAAATACGTCACTCTGAGAAGCATCCCAGATAGTACAGCAAAAAGACAACTCATGAGAAATCCTGAGAAATGTGGTACTTTGTACTATGGTGGTGGGAATTTCAGGCTCCCTGCATGCTCACTCAGAGTCTCATTAATAGAATTTAGGAGTGAGAGGGTGGTCGTGGACTGCATATGAATGCACATATTTTATTTTTAAAACATAAAATCAGTTTTTTTTTTTTCCTGACAGAAAGCAAATTTTCATCTGGCAGTGCGGGTAGTTTTGTCAATTAGATTGATACGATGTGTTCTCTACAAACTGATATGTGTTTAAAATATATTGAGAGTGAATGGTAAAATAATTTTATTTTGAAAATGGATGGATCTACTTATTTTCTGTGGAAGGAAATAGACCCCATAGTTGGGAACTAGATCAAGTCGTTTTTTAGAGACTGTCAGTGAGTTTTCTTCTGGAGAGGAGGCAGTGTTTGCAGAAAAGGGCTGGTGGTAAGAGTCATGTGCAGTAGCTGAAAGGTCTTCCCAGGCATTGACAGGAGAATGGCGTAACTTGAAGCCTCATTGGAGTGATCCTGAAACCTAGCAAGTTAAGAACCATTCAAGGTCCAGTCTTACCCAGACAGCACCAATTCCAGAAGACAGTTGCCCCTTCCTCTCCTGATTCTCATGAGCTCCAGAAGGAAGAAGAAGGCAGTCAATTGAATGGATTGGGTCAGGGGGAGAATGAGAACCAAGGGGCAAAGAAATGAAAAAACTGACTCTAACTCCCCTTTTGCATTTTAGACTTGAAATCAATTCAAACTAATGGAAAGGTATGAATTGATCAAGGACACAAATTTATGTGATGTGTACTACACTGGACATTTTATAACAGAACCAAAACAGCTCTTGTGACTTTTTAATTACTGGAATGACTGGAGGCATTATAGGGGCTGCTCAAGGTTTCATCCATGATCTTTCATCATAAAGACTAAGTAGTTCTTAGATGTCATTTTTATGGGCAGCAAGGAATAGAAAAAGTTGAATTCTGTTCCTACATAGAGTTCAATTCATTGAATATGGCAGTTACATAAAAATACCATGCTACTTTTTAAACATAGTACTACCTTAGGGTTATTTTACAGCCATGCCAATAGATATGACATGCTCAGTAAAGTTTCTCATTTGCCTTATCTCAAGTTTTAAAAGTACAAAGGGATACACCATTGCATAAATTGTACAGGGGACTAGGCAAGCACCCTCTACTATCTTTAAAGACTACTGTCCATGTTAGACTGCAAAACATGGCAGAGGACGGGCTGGGAAGTCTTGCACCAACAGTTTCCTTTACTGGTCCTAACAAAGGTAGAGAGCTTAAAATGATCCCCTGATGTGTCTTCAATTCAAAATAAAATTTGTTAGTGAATACTACAGGCCTGCATGAGAGGACTTAGGGGGAGAACCAATTGAACTGTTTATGTAGCCTGAACAGAAAAATCAAAATAATCATTGAACTCTGACTTGTCACAAGACACTGGAGGATACAGGAAAATCATGCTCAGGTTGCAGAAAAATAGAGGAAGTGACTTTAGATTTTTAAAAAGGTTTTACTTTAAAGTTTTAACAATGTAGTGTCAGCTGGGGATTTAGCTCAGCTGTGTAAGTGCCTACTTGGCAAACAGGAGGTCATGAGTTTGATTCCTGGTACCCCCCCCCAAATATATATATAGTGCCAAAAAGAGCTACATAAAACAGAAGAAAAGCAACCTAAAAATAAATTGTTTTATTTGATCTGAAAGACTTCTAGTAAGGTAACTGAGATCACACAAATTAACCATTATGCTCTTTAAAGAAAAAAAATGACTATAATTAAGAGGAGTGGGGAAATCTTTCAATAACATGATTATCAGCCTCAACTCCAGATCTACCTCAAGTCGTTGCACATGCCACATGGGTGAGCCTACGATGACTGCCACCAGCCAGACCACACCTGCAAAATGTGAAAAACATCAGAATATGCATTAGCTCAGTAAAAATGCATGCATGCTTGAATCTCTGACCATCCAAATTCCCTATATCTAGTGCACCCAGTTTCTTCTGTCCAAGGGCAGACAATGATCTCACAAACTCTTGATTTCTTTTATCACCCTTGAAATGTTCTTGCAATAGCACTTCTCAAAGAAGTGCTAAATGTTAAAAACTCTTTAATAGTGTTCTATCACCTATGAGCTAAACAAATTCATAATTTATACCGTTGCCTTTACTTTCATCCAAGGTCTTCACATTCCAATCCTCTAATGAAGAAAGACAGGTTCCCTAATGTTGATCTGGAAAGTCGTCAATATTTAAAAACCTAAAGATCTTTGGTTTATTCTAGGGGAGACATAACATAAATTTGAAGATGGCTAATTAAAACTCATGAATATTTCCCCTATGGCTTATCTGTTCATTTAAAGCTATTTAAAATTTCAGGATTGCAAAGTTTTGAGTTCTTTCTGTAATCCGACAGTCCTACAAAACATAAATTTTTATAGCAGCAATAAATGTTTGCTCATTTCTTTCACATGATATATTAGTAAAAATTAATGCCTTTGATTACTATAGTAGTTGTTTACTATGTTTGTGATTACTTAATTAATATTAAATTTAAACCACTGAGAAGCACATTAATTTTTAGGGGTTCGAATATAATTACTAAGTAAAAAGATTCTTCCATTTTACTGTGTTATGCTTCAGAATATTCTTTCAAATTTATAATAAATCACAAGGTATGTGTCCTTCATAACTTGCTGAAACCTTAACAGTTATAGTGGGTTTAGGATCCAAGAATGACTGAAGAAAAATTACAAAGTGGGTGCAAGGTGTCTCTGCAGGGACCTTCAGGACTGCTCTGCATTCTCATGCATGCTGTGATTTTGCACAACAGTTATGTACTCATTTCCTCAGTCCCCAGTCACATTTTGGAATTTTTTTTGAGGGGGGTTGCTGGGGATTGAACTAATGACGTCCCACTCGTGAAGCAGGTGCTTGTATTGCTGAGCTAAAGCCCTGACACTGTTCTCCACTTTTTAAAAACACACTTCCTGCCTCCAATCAAAGTCTACCCTTGTTAGCTTACAATCTTCTTACCTAAGGATGACGAGCTCCTAATCTATTGAATGTTAACATGGCATTGCCCCTGATGAGTCATGATAGATTAGATGAATGTGATGTTTCAAAATGTAGGACTTAATTTAGAGAAGCACATCCAAAATGACAGTGTTGGGGTAGGCCTCATGGAGAGAGGAAGATGAGTAATACAAATAAAGGAATGAAACCCTCAAATTGCACCTTCATGCTTACAATTTAAGCAAAAAGCTACTCATTTAGAAGATATGATTCTTTTTGTCCCACATTACCACTGCCCGTGGGACACCCGGTGGCTCACCTAGCATTGTAAAAGCTCTTTGGTTGGTGTACTGCCACTTCATCTTAAAGGGATGCACAAGGCCCTGGTGCCTTTCCACAGCAATGCAGGTCATAGTGAGAATTTCTGTGACAATAGCAGCAGACTGGACAAAAGGCACCATCTTGCAAATGAAGGCACCTGTGGCAAGGAGATAAGACAAGTGATATATCACAAAGAATAAAGTTTTGTCTGTCTCTTTGTAATTATCAAAGTTTGTTAGTTCTGAGCCTTTGCTCGAAAGCTTCATGACTATGCTAACATTATTGAGGCAAAATAATTAAGGAAGTTTGCATTGGCTTATGCTTTCATTTTATGACTGCATTCTAAATTTCCAAGTGTTGTTTCACTATGTATAATAAAAAAATAGGAGAACCAATCGGTATTTAGCTAGTGACAATAGATATGAAAAACATCAGAACAGTGTGATCATCACTTAGGGAAAAGCAAAGTCATTGTGAATTAGTTTCCTGGCACCTAAAAACTAGAGAGTAATCTTTGATGTTTTCTTTCCTTTGATTCTCTGTCATATCAAAACAAAGGAACAGTTCTCAAACATGATTCTTAGACTTTCTTTTATTTTTGTTCTCCTTTTATTCCAAGTTTAAAACTTTATACCTCTATGCGCCATTGGAATTTCAGAGAACCTGATCTAGGCATCTCTGCTCTTGAATTCATCTTGCTTACTGCTTCCAAATGATTTCCAACTATCAGAAAAGTAAAAACTCAGGATGTATAGACTTAGAAGAGACCTCAGAGGCCATGGGGTCCAAGTGTGCATCAAAAGCAGAAATTTTCAACTCATCTAACATAACTTCTCACAGAGTTCACTGAAGTCATTGCTCAAGTGGTACTGCAATGGTTAACTCTATGTCAGTTTGACTGAGCTAAGGAATATCTAAACGGCCAAGAAACACTGGTTTTGTCGGTGGTTGTGTTTCTGGTACATTAGCATTTGTATCAGTAGAGTCAGTAAAAGAGACTTGCCCTCCCCAGCGTGGATATCATCATCTAATCTGTTGGGTGCACAAATAGAAAGTCAGGAGGAGAATGGGAGAATGGGAGGACTTTAGATGTCTGGTTAAACAGCAGCATGGGTCTTTTCTTGTTCTTGGACATCAGTGTTTCTAATTCTCAGGCCTTTGGGGTTAAGCTAGAGCCACATCACAGCTTTTCTGAACTTTTGGCTTGTAGATAGCAGACTGTGGGATGCCATATCTTGCAAAATCATGTGAGCCAGTCCTTCAAAATAAATCTCTTCTATATATCTCTTTATTTTCATTCTAACCATCTTTGTCTTTTTGGTTGAAGGAACATTTTTCCAACATTTACAAGACCCAAGCAAAATAGACATTAAACAATGCTCTTTCTTTACCCTGCATTCAGCTCTTATTATCGTCCTTCCCTTTCTTATTCAGTTCCTTTTTCTGGTTATCTCTGCTATCGCTTTGATGAGCCTCTTCTACACTTCATCTTCCCCACTGTAAATAATATCGGCCTAATCTGTCTTTTAAGAATGTGACATTTCTTTTCACAAATAGCACTTTTAAACTGGGATAATCCTAAATTCTTCATTTAGATCATTGTTTTATTGGAATGCTCTTCCCTATTTTTCCTTATGGGATTACACAGCTTTATGTCAGTATTGTATTTCTTGAAGCCTGCTGGAGCAGATATGTCTCATATTTTGATTAGCCACCTGCACTTTTCCTAATGGCCCTGTTACTTCCTTCTATAACATTAACTCTCCTCACTAGGAGCAGGTCCAATTAAGAACCTCTAAAAAGGAAGACAAGGTGAGAATAGAAGTCCTCTCACAAGGCAAAAGAGTATAATGTAAATGGAAAGGAGGTCTAAGGGGTATGATTGTGTGCAAACAAATCGAGTGGCAACAGACCATTGCTGTCAGTCTCTGAGCACACTCGGTCAGTCCCTGCCTGTTCTGTGAGTCCATTCCTCCAACTTCATAATGATCCTACTGAGCACCCAAAGTCTTCATGGTACATTCTTTGAAGCCAATTAGCTTCTGCTAACTAAGTAAATTAATTTCAAATGTTTTTTGTAACTTTTTTCTCTAGTTTTGGATTCCATGTTTTTCTAGTTAGAATGAAAAATGTATACCTTCTGTGCCATGGTACAATGTATTAAGGTAAGGGTTGTGGGCTGAGGCTCTGGAGTAGAGACCTACTATTTGTTAACTGTGTGGTCTAAGTTACTAAGTTATCTTCTAGTCCATTTTAAGTTATAACAAAATATCCAGTGATGGGTATTTTACAAAGAAAAGTTTATTGGCTCAGCTTTGGAGGCTGGCAGCCAAAAATTGGGTGGACCCATCTGTTCAGTCTCTGGTTAGGACCTCATGGGGGCACCAAAATATGATGATGGCACAATGGTGGGCATGCACACGGGGGCAGGTCACATGCTGAAGAGGACATCAGAGGTGAGGCAGGAGCTACTATCGTTCAATTTATTACCACTTGCTCCTGTGAAAGCTGGTTCTGTGAGACTAGTACCACTTGATAGCAGTAGGAATCAAAAGGAAGAGAAGAAGAGAAATGAGGAGGAGGAAGAGGAGGAGAAGGAGGAGGAGGACAAGGAGGAGGAGGAGGAGAGGATCCTGGTTGTTTTAGTCAAATCATATCTGAATGATAGAACCTTATTTCATTTTTCCTCAGATTTCCATACCTAGAAAACACAAATGAGGATACTGATACTTTCCTATGAGATTTCTGGAGAATGAAATGAGATAATAAATGTACAGTATCAGGGCACTTCCTGAACTATGAAAACATGCACTCATGATGGTTAATTACACTTATTACTTTCATCATTGTTGTCATTTTTACTACCGCAATTCAACTTTAAACATAACATAATACAGCTGGGGATCAATTCTAGTATTTGTTCTTTCAGATTTTCTTCCAGGTCATTGACATTCAGTGTTGATGACTTCTGTTTGTATTTTATTTTTGTGTTGTTTTTATTGACTGCTGCCATCTTTAAAGTCATTTTCAAAGAATTTCTTCTCAGACTTCTTTAATTTCATGGATTATTTCTTTGCATAAATCCTTTTTGAGTTATTTTTTGCAACTCATAAAGTATTTAAGTTCTGAAAATAGCTGTAATTTTTATTTGAAGTCAGTATCATCTTCTTTGGGAATGTGAAGACCTTGCTCTGCTGACTTTCATCATCTGCTGTTTGTGCTAATAAGTCAGTATCACCAGGCTGACTTTTGTTCCTTTATAAACATCCTGGTTGTTTTAATCAGTTTCATGTCTCTGTGACAAAATACCTAGAAATCAATCTAATATGAGAAAGTAGTTGTTTGGCCTTGTGGTTTCAGAGGTTTCTGTCCACAGCTGCTTGGCTTATTGCTTTGGGCTTGTGAGGCAGTAAATCACGATGGGAAGTGCACAGTAGTGCAAAGTCACTCACTTGATAGCAGCAGGAAGCAAAAGGAAGGGAAGAGGAAGAAGAAGAACAACAACAATAACAACAAGAGGAGGAGGAGAAAGAAGAAGGAGGGGAAAAAGAAGGGGAGGGGAAGGGAATGGGAGGAAGCAGAGGGGGAGGAGGAAGGGGAGGGGAGGGAAAGGGGAGGAGAAGAAAGAAGAAGAAAGAGGAGAAGAGGAAGAAGATGATAAAGAGGAAGAGATGAAAGGGCAAAGGTCCCAATGCACCATTAGGGCATGTCCCCAGTGGCCTTCTTAATCCAACCAGATCCCACCTCCTAAAGTTTCTATCATCTCTCAATAGCATCATGATTGACATGTAGCCTTCAATATGTGAGCCTTTGAGGGGGACACTTAAGATCCAAAATATTGCACTGGTTAGTATTTAGAAACTTCAGGCAATCTCTGTGTGATTGGAATTCTGAGATACTCTGAAGGTGTGTTGAAGTATGTGGTATTGTTTTACTATTTCTTCTTAGTTCTGTACGCCTTTTATTTCTTTCTGTCTTTGCTTTCCTACAGAACTCTTACCAATTAGTATTAGAATTGCTAAATTGATCTTCCTATTTTTATTTCTTTTATACATAGATTTTTTTATTTTATAAATTTTCTCTTCATACATGAATAATTCTAGTTTTGTCTTCTAATGTTTTTAACTTTGATATAATTTCAGCAATCATATTTTTATTTTCAAGAGCTTGTTATTGCTCTTAAAATGTTTTTTTGCAGAGAAACTTGCTTTAGGTTTACAAAATCAGTACACTTTTAAATCCAGACAACTCTACTTTGTATCCATAATGCGTTTCTGAAAATGAGACAGTCTGAAAATATGGACTGATAGCCTATTGCTTTCTACTAAAAATCTACATTACATTTCCAAGAGATTTGCTTAAAAGTAATTGACACAGGAGAACCATCACTTAATATAAAAAGTATTTAAAATATCACTCCATGATCATAAAACTATTTGAATGTTAGCATGATTATAAAACTATTTAAATGTTTATATGTAGCAGCTCTGTATCAGCAACATGCTACTTTCATGGTGCACCATAAATACTACATTTCTAACAAGGACCCACAACTGGCACACAGCAATTAATACACAGGTTGCCACCAAGGCTATAGGTCAGTGGTGTACCACCTTCCTGGAAAGTGCAAGGTCCTGAATTTGACTTCTAGTACCAAAAAAGATTAAAAAGAAGAAAAACACATTTGCCAATAAAAATAAGCCAATTCCCTGTGAAAATATTACACATGAGGAAAAGAACAGACTGACAATTTGAAGGAAGTTGAAGAGGGAGAGTAAAAAGGTAGTCATGTTCAAGAGTGATGAAAATTGCTCATGGGCGAGTTGGACAAAGAGGAAATTTTAGACAAACTATGAAATTCAGAAATTCTTATTATTTTCATATTGTTGCAGGCACCTCTCAGTGGATGATGTTCAGAGGACACAGTTGTTTTAAAATGAAAAGCTATAAAATTGAATTTACTCTCCTCAAATTTAAAGCTATGGAATTATCTGCCTAAGTATTCGAAAAATACTAGGCAGCCCTAGTCCTACCAAGTTCAAGGATATTTATCGTTGTATTTGTGTAACCCACAAGTTATTTCAGCAAGCAATATTAAGTACAGTGCTTATCACAATGACTAGCTTTTTTTGCATCGATATTCTGAATGAATTCAGT